TTTCCTACTATATCATTATATATATATATATATATATATATAAACACCCATGGAGTGTATCTTAATTTGTTATCTCAATTTTTTTTGAAATAATAATGTATTACAGACCCATAAACATTGCAAATAATTATTAAAATTAATCTACATTAAACAACAGTTTTGTGATGATTCCATGCTACGTAATAATGCTGGAATCACAGAATCACCTTCAGTATCAATTTGAAAAGGTGCTGTCTGTTCACCTATCAATTCTTCAGGTAATTGACCACAAGCTTGTACTTCTTGCATAAGTGATATTATTGTTTCAAAACGTTTCCTTTTTATTTCTTCTGTATCATCATCTTTTTCTTTATCAAGTTCAGTACATACCTAAAATGAAGAATTATTTTTATTAGCTCTTAAAATAATAGTATAATATTTATGGAAATGACATATTTTTATAGTTATTTTGATTATATATATAATAACCTGTTGCATTAATTTAAGTTGTTTTGTAAATCGTTGTAAGTCATTGGATGATACTGTTGTTTTTTTCTCTTCTAACCATTCAGAATATTTTTCTATCAATTCTTTCAATGATGGATATAAAATTTCTTTAGATAATAAATGTTGTAACATTCCTTGCATAAATGGTAAAATAGCGCCAGGATCATCTTCTAAAGATACTTGTCCAAATATATCTGATAAATCAGCTTCACTCTATAACATTTTTATGAATGAATTTAAAGATTCAAAGAATTAAAAAAAAAATCATTATTTCTGAAAATAATTACTTGTAAATTTTCTGATGTTGCAGATAAATCATTTAATGCTCGTGCAATAGCAGATTTGAAATCTGTACTCACAGTATCTTTGTCAAAATTATCTTCATCATTTATTACATTAGCAACTGTTTGTGCCATTTTTTTGGAAAGAAGCTCCTAATTCATTATCTGATCCTAATGAAAAAACTTTTTAGTTATATTATTCTTACATAATAATATCACTCTTACATCTTTTTTTAAATTATAAAATTTACCATTTTGAATAAAATTTTGTAGATTTTCCTCAAATTGTTCTGCTGCTTGTTTAATAAAATCTGTAGTCCAAGTATCCTCTGAAATATCAGATATATTCTTATCTGGCATAGATTCAAGGATATTTACTTTAGATATATCTTCTTTTTCTGATTTTTGTTCTTTATTGAAATCTTTTAACGCACCTATATAATAAATAATAATAATTTTTATTAAACTTAAATTTAAAGTAAAAAAATATTTGTTGTCTTAAATGTTTTCTCTTTCCTTTTCAAATTTAGAGATGTTATAAATTGTATAATAAAAAATTGATCATTTTTATAAAAAAATACTAGTATAGAAAAATAATATATTTACACAGTCTTTATAAAAATTTACTAAAACTTTAGTATTTTTTTCATCCCCTCCTTTGTTTCATTTTGTTTTAATTATCATATTTTTCATATTTTTTTATATAAATTTTTTAAATAAAATTAAATATAAATATCTATTTGAAAAACATATCAAAGAAAAACAAAGATAAAATCGTTAAACATTTATATAATATAGGGTTAGGAATTTTAGTTATATTCATTTAATCACAAATTATATAATATTATATTTACTTACTATCTAATAAATCGTTTAATTCTTGATCTTCTGTTTGCTGTGTAGATTTTTCATTAGCCATAGTTATTCTTTCTTAATTTTGACGTTTAATAAACTTTTATATGAAAATTCATCCAACAAAACGTTATAGCTTTATTATCATTTACATCATTCATATATAAAACATGTACAATTTGACCGGGTAAAACTGAAAGTTTTAAATTAAACATTAAGAAATAGAAGATAAAGGGATAAGATAGAGAAATATTTTTAACTGTTACTCATTTAATATATAATGTGAAATTTCTATCATCACAATTAGTTATATTAGCAAGAGGAAAACATTTTAATCGAAAATACTCAAATAAATATTTATATAAAATATAAATACTTGTTAACTTATATATAACAATTTTTTTATAATTTTATTATATAAATATAAAAATTAATATACAAAAATATTGATTTAGATTTATAGCCTATTTATTTAAGTAATTAAATGAAATGAAAAGAGAATAAAATAATTCTATCTCTATCTCATGCCAACTCTGTCTTGCTTTGTCTTTATTTTGCCTCATCTAACTTATTGCTTATTCATCAAACTTTAATTGCTTATAAATTAATAAAAAAGTCTTTATCAATATTTTTGTATATTATCTTTTACATTCTGTATTGTTAATTGTGTTTTGGACATTCTATATTCTGTATGACAATTCTGTTTTTAAAATATAATTTATACTTTTTTTTCAAAAGTTTCTTTATAAAAACAATATATAACAATAGGAAAATATATAAAATATTAATTCCTATATTTATTAAAAAATGATTAATAAACCAAAACATGTGTAATGTAATATAAATAAAATACATTTTTTTTATTTATTAATGATATTTGATGATATACAAATTTAATACACATAAAAGGAATCCAACATTATTATAAATTATAATTATCTTTCTTGATTCGTATCCTGATCAGAGAAAACTTTATTCAATAATCGGTAACATACATCTATCTGATCAGGATTTTCCTCTTGTTTTAAATCTTTTATGTAACGTTCTATAGTAGATTGTAAGCAAAGTTCAGGTCGTCGACATTCTTTTAAAGCAGGGAAAAAATTATCATTGGTCAAACCATCAAGAATATTTAGCAATTGATCTCTGAAATATATTAAATTCAATTCAACATATTCAATATCAATTATATTAGAAAAATAAATTTATAAAATGATACCTAATTTCTGGAAGTAGATCACCAATGGCCAGCAAACCTGTTGCTTGTTCAATTAGACCCATATTCACTAATGTTAACTTTAAATCATTTACATTTTCCTTATTACATAAAGAAGATAAGAGAAATGCAGATTTAATTTGTAATTTCTTTATTGAACTCTGCATAGCTCTTAAGAGAATTGAGTATCCATCATTTATATCCATATATTTTAAAGACATTGGATGTTCTCGAACTATGCCTATATTTAATATATATAATTAATATTAAATTAATATAAATAAATATGCAATTAATATATATTTATAATATATATAATTATAAAAATTTTTTACTTACATGATACTGCATACAAAGCTTTAATTCTAACAGTTTCTGCAGGATCTGTATCTATCATATTCAATAATATAGGAAACAAGCCAGTTTCTAAAAATCTTTCTTGACAAAACGGGTTATTTTGAGCTAATTCAGCAATTACATCTGCTGCTCTCCATCTAATACTACTATGTGGAGAGTTTAAGCATGGACCAAATATCGAAAAACCACCTATTTTATAAAAATCATTGGCAATGTCTATATTATCTACAAAATCTGCAATTTTTTCTAAAGCAGATTCATGTTGTGATGTATCATCATCTGGACGAAGATCAATTACATTTGACAAAACTTTAATAGATTTTTGTAATTCCTCAATTATATTACATGACAATGAGGAAAGAGTTTGTTTCAAAAATTCTTGTCTCTATAAACAAGATTTTTAACGAATTTTTAATGAATTTCTTAGAGAAATCATGTAGATAATGTTAACGTAAATATATTTATGCTACCTACTTCTTCATCCATAGGTTGAAATGGAGTACCGCTAGTTACATTCTGCGAATTTGTTGCTTCCATAGCAAATCTAAGCAATCCTTGTAAATTTGTTGGTTGTCTGGGTTGGTTTGGTAATGGTTCGAGTACTTGCGGTTCGGTGATATTCATACTTGATGGTCCTTCAATAGATAATGGTCTCGCTCTGCTGTTTACGCGTGGTTGTCCTTCTGTTTTTTCTCGATTGTTCGAAGTTTGAGAACTAAATAATTTTCAAAATTAGATAATTTATAGTAACTTTCAAATATTAATGATAACAAATATGGAAATAATAGAAAAAATTTTTACTTCTCCATTTTTTCTATGATTTTAGTCGTATGAGCTGCACCCATTAATTAATCTGTCTCATAAATGTTATATCAATAAAATAAGAAAGAGAGCATTATAGAAATTTGATCGATGTCGCTACTACTTTCCGTTATTACTTTCGTAAATTCTAGAAACAAGAAAAACGTTCGAAGCGTCGCTTTCTCATTGAAAACAATCTCGAGACTAGAGAAAAATTGGTTAGAGGCGCAAATAACTTTGTTATACGCGTGCGCATAAATATATACAAATTTCAAAAAAACTTAATTTTTGATGATAGATTACATAAGATTATATATCAGAAAAATCAAGTTAGATAATTTATAATAATTTTATAATTTATGATACGTATAAATTAATATATATTATAATATATATAAATTTATAAGGAAATTTATATATATATCATAAATTTAATTTTATTATTGTAATATGTATTCATTACATGTGAAATAAATTATATTGAAGTATACTAAGAAAAATATAAAAATGTATTTTATTAAAATTTTTTTCTTTATAATAATTTATATTAATATACATTCTTAATTTTTATATTTTAAATATATAAATTTAATATGTACAGAGAGTTTCTGAAATTTTATTCTGTCCATCTATGACAACAATGCTGATTAGTACACACATAATATAACCTCATCTCTTCTTCTGCTCGTCTGGTTTGTGCTTGAAAAAATACTGCTTCTCTATGATTACATTTTGGACATGGGTGATCTTCTGTTCTTGGCAAAGTAGGATCTGATATAACATCTGCGACAATGTGTGTCAATTCACTAGAATTATAAAAAAATTATAATAAAATACAATAACAAATTTTTGTTATAATTATAATATAAAATTATAAATTATTTTTAAAAAAATAAAAAAAATTCATTTCTGATGAAAATTTAAAAATTATATATATGAATATATTTACAAGTTATGCATATTATCACTTTTACTTACTCTATTTCGTGCATAATCTTATTCACGTAAATACAATTGCTATCAGCGAGTTGTTTAAAATCACAATTTCTACACTAAGAAGTTAAGAATAAAAAATTTTAAATATTTTGATTCAAAGATAAAATTTATTTTGCATAAAATACTTACTGCATACATTAAAACTTTATTTTCTTTATCTTCTTTTGGATATAACATATTATTACATTCTTGACAAAATCTAATACCAACAAAACCTGGTCCATCATCATGTGTATCATAACCAGTTATTTTGGACATATTTCGTGCGCTTTTGTTTCTATTTTATACAATAAAATTCATACAAATAAATAAAAAAAACAATGGAATTACTGTTTATTAAATATTGTTCAACGATGTAAAAAGTCAGTTAAACTTCAATCATAGCATACCAAGATTTAAGATTTTCATACAATAAATGAATGTGTCAATGAATGTGTCAAATTAATTTTTATAATGGTAGTATTGTATTTAAATTTTATCATATTAAATTATGTTATTAAAATTCATATCAATATAGAATTGAATAAAAATAAAATAAATTCATATGAATGAAGAATTATTATTATAAATTTATATTAATGAAAAATCACTATATAAAAATAAAACAATTATTAAATAAAATAATACATGTTTCTTGAAATATTTTTTTAAACCAATTAAAATTCACAGATGGAATTAATTAAATGATAATTTATTTTCATTAGATACAATATAATCAATAATTTTAAATCTTTTATATGAAAATAATTTGATAAAAAATTACTATTATTATTATCTATATGATAAAAATAAAAATGAAAAATTTAAAAATACAAATATATTTAATCAAAATATTACATTGGATTATAAAATTTTATATAAAATAAATTATCAATCATTTTCTATATATGTTTTAATTTTAGTATTATATGTTGCATACTTGAATCAATGAAAACGTTGATAACCTAATTTCTCTAAAGTTTATGGAGCGTTTTCATATAATGGCGCGAATGTACATATATAGAAATTCGTTCGGAGAAATAGTGACAATTCTAATTAATAAAAATACGAGAAAATTATATATTTTATTAAATCTTAATGTTGAAAAAAATAAAAATTTAAAAAAAAAGAAATTTTATAATAAAGTTATCTTTCAATCATTTAAACTAATCAATATGTATAATTGTTTTTTTCAGTGAAAAAGAAGATTAAGATTTTAAATAAAATAAAAAATAATATTGATATAAAATATAATAAAAATATTTTATAAAAATATTAATTTTTTGATACAGAATAATTTTAAAAATTATAGAATTTTTTAATAAAAACTGTGAAATTTATATAATATAGCTATATAAATAGATAACCATGCATAAATATATATAGAATGGTTGTAGACAAAGGTTCGGGGAGTTTAACGTTCGTAAGAGTTTTCAGGAAAGGCAAGAGGTGCGCTAGTGTTCCACTAAGCTACCCCCAACCTTACTACCCCCACCCTTTCGTTCGAGCTCCCCTAGCTAGTGCAAATCTCGGCGGATGAATGTTTTCTTAAGGGATTCTTCCCGAAAGCGACGCGAAAATCTGAGAGGAGTCGACCAAGCTGAAAATTCGTGAGTGAAATCATTTACTGTAAAATTTATGCTACATTTCGTTGTTTGGATTCCCAAAGTTTATAGGATTTGATTTCGGAAATTAAAAAGAAAGACCAAACTTGTGTTCAAGGCGTTCCTGGGGGGTGATGGCACTCACGCCGACAGCGTCTCCCACAAAGATTTCACCATTTTTCTATTGACAAAAAAATCTTATACATCTCTACGTACATTCGATATTTTTTGGTTAACCTGTCGGCTAGTACGCTTTGAGCACGTGATTACGATAAACGCCGCATAACTAAAGTTTGTATTTGAACATTTTTTCCGAGGAATTCATTTATGTGCTTCCAACGACAGATTTGTTTTGTTGCACATTCGTTCTCGGCTAGTGCCATGGATTTTCTTTAAAGGCTTCTCGATGTTGATTTTCTCCTTTATAATTGCGCTAAGCTACAATAAAATTACCAATTTGAATATTGGATCGCAGGTATATCTTTTATATTTTTCAATTATATATTACGCATTTATACATAATTATTTATAGTGGTAGATAAATTTGTATAGTTGATACTAAAATTTCTTTGGTAATACAGCCATATTGTACATTGTTCTAAACAAATTTTGTTAAGTAAATATAATTTTTATATTTATTTTTTATCTTTATATATTTTATATTTATGTAAACATATTTTCATTACCTTATATGGAATCTATTTATTCTGAAGTATTTTATTATAATATTGTTTGATAAAAAAAAAATATTTATAATTTGTTCATTGATTCATTCATATATATATATATATATATATATATATGTATATATATTATGTATGTATTATATATATATATGTATACATTTTTTTTATCTATAATTTTTGAGTCCAATAAATTTTCATTAATGAGAAAGATTTTACTTGAAATATATAAAATATTATGAAGTTAATACATTGATTTGATAAGAAATTGAGATATTTGATTATAGAGAAATAGATAAAATTACAATAATAATTAAATATATATATATATACGATATGATATATATTTATTATATTTATATTATATTTATGTATTATATTATTACATTATATTTATATATTTATATAAGTAAAAATTAAGATACCAAAACTTTAAAATATTATATGGATTTCATTACTTACAATATTATTTGGAATATTTATTTCACAATAATTTAAATCATAGTTTTTATGTATAATGATTATTTAATATCTAAAATACTTTAAACAATTTTGATATATTTTACAATATTTGATAGCTATAATATTCTTATGATAATATAATTTTTTTAAAATATAAAAATGTAAAATATGTGAAATATAAAGAAAAATATATTGATATTGACAGGAATTTATTCTAAAGCAGCAGAATAATGGAAAGCGGAAGCAACCTGCCTACGCCGGGTAATTATCCTGGTGGGGATCGTCAACAGTTTTGCGTATCATGGAATTCTCATCAATCAAATATGCACAGTGCATTTCCAAAACTTTTAAGTTCTGAACAATTTGTTGATGTCACTTTAGCCTGTGATGGAGGCTCAATAAAGTGTCACAAAGTGGTATTATCCGCTTGTAGTGATTATTTGGAACGTTTACTGTTAGAAATACCTTGCACTCATCCTATTATATTTTTGAGAGATATGAGAATGTGGGAACTTCAAGCATTAGTGGAATTTATGTATCGTGGTGAAGTATATGTGGAGCAACAACAACTTGGTAAATTAATGCAAGCTGCTGAAGTTTTGCAGGTAAATGAATAAAAATATTTTTTAAATAAAAATTATTTATACAGTAAATACTTATATGGTGTTCTAGAAGAGATACTCATAGATTGTATTGGTTCTTACTTAATAACTATATCACAGGTTCGTGGTTTATTTACTCAAGGATCAAGTGATAATTCTTCGAGTGAAAGTGGTTCACAACAGTGCGATTCAAATGCTACTGTTGCACCTACGATTGCACAGCAGGATGGATCTGACTATAAATCTGAGGAAACTCCATCTGAGGATGGAACTTCGAATACTAATTTTCTAGAGAGTACATCAATTGCTGCATCTAGTACAGCAAATGCTCCATCACACAGTACTACACCAGTTCCACAGAATTCTAATTCATCAAATTTTATGAATATGGAGCACAGTGAGGCATTACAACATTTGGAAAAAGCACTTAGCGTTTGCGAAGCAACTTTAACTGAGACTCAGGGCATGGTTAGGATGGAACCAGACGAGCAATTTACCCAACAGCAAGATGTCAAGCCATACTCCATTAGTATGGTACCAAGCAGCAATTGTAATCCTAGTAGCCCGTTTCCGCGATTGAAGGTAAGAAAAAAAAGGTAGAATAAAAAAAGGATAAATAATAATAATAAAAAATTTAATGCATTGCGCAAAAATAAGCATTGAGATTGAATAAATAAATCAAAGAACTTTGTTTTACCAAAATTATATATATTTTTTATAAAATTTCATATGTTTTATTATTTATAATATTATAAATTTCACTAAATAATTAAATAACACTAAATATTAAAAATATTTAACATTGAATATTGATTATTGACTATTGAGTAATCATTGGCTGAAAGTTTATTAGATTGCAATTAAATAATCCGACAGGATGAACAAGATATTTTTTTTATTATATTTGCTCTTATATAATTTTCAGGTTATCAAAGACGACAAAGACGTTCGGAAGAGGAATTGAAGCAAGCTTCGGATATGGTAGCACGTGGTATGACGTTTCAAGTTGCTTCAGAAAAGTACAAAATTCCGATAAGTACGATTCGATTCTATATGGTTAGGAAAGGTATATTACAAAGGCGAAAACGCGGTCGTGGTTCGAGTAATCTTGGTATGAATAGTCAACCGGGAAGTCCTGCAAGTCCGCCATATCATATGATGAACTATCGTTTGCCAGAAAGCCTAAACTCCAGCCTACCGTAGTGCAGTACGAAAAGTAGCGAGTTTTTAGATTTGAGTTGAATCGAACAAATTTTTTATTGCCACGTCGGAGCTGTTCCAGGCTGTCATTCTTCCCATCTTTATTGACTCACACTGAGTTATTCGTTTCTCGTTTAAACATTTACGACACGCGATTACGCATGCTTAGTGCAAGTGCGTTTTCGTCAAACTGCTCGTTATTCTATACACATTTATTGCATTTACAGAAGATAGTAATTTAATAGAAAATAATTGACAAGATGTACGTATCGTACATGATAGGCACGACTTTAGTCTTGAACAGCTCGGCTCCGTGTACATAAGCATCATACGAGTTTTCGAACGCAGCATCGAAATGAAAAAGATATGTTTCAAAACTAATAGAAGATAAAAAAAATGATTCGTTTACATGAGAATCATTGTAGATGTAATCATTGATTAGAAATAGTGTATAATTGGTTATAATGATAGTTTTTTCATCTTATTTTCTATAAATTTTATGATGTAAAAATAAGAAAAAATACATCTCGATACAGCGTTCGAAGATCGCCTGTACGGTTCAGTTTTGGGCCGTGTTCCGTTCTTCTACTTAGTGACACATACACCTTACGTACGTGGATAACGTAAGAGGTATTTTTTTGAGTCCTATACACTGATTGCTATAACAGATTTACAAAATACGGTTCATGGAAAAGTTTGAACGTGTCACTCGAATCATATTTTTACGATCAATGGAAAATCTTTTGATAATACGTATCTATAGGGTAGGTTCTTTTTTATTACGTCCTATTTATACATATACACATAGATATATATGTAGATGTGTATATATGCGCGCGCGCATGTAATATTTTGCCTGTTTGTGTCTATTTAGTGAATGTCCATGTTTGTGTCTGTGCCTGTATGGGTTTATGCGCGCGTGTATGTACATATGTAAATGCATAAATATATATATGTGTATATATTTGAATAAAATGTACATGTACTCTATTAAGTTGCTTTTTTTGAATAGTAAATGCGATTTATCTAGATATCGAGATATTAAGCATTAAATTTCGGTTTTTAAAACCAACAAGATATAGTAAGTCGTTTACGAATATTATGTTACTTTTATTTAACACAAAAATCAAGACAGAAACGGTGGAATCGAAGCTCGCGATTTTAAAAAAACGTACGATATATTATACGTATCATATGATCGTATGCTTCGTCCATGAACGAATTAGTCACTATGTTCAAGACTGGTAACACGTGGCTGATCCGCAACCACGTCGAATCTTATACCGCAAATCTGGATCTACTACACAAATATTTTTGTAGACACTTTGCGCGTGGAAGGTGTCTTCTTTCTGCCTTTGTATATGCGTGTGTTTATATATTTATATATGCATATATATACACATACATGTACACACATAATACGTATATACATACGCATATAAATTACGAGAATGGAAATTGTATCGATACTTATACATGAACATATATGTATAAGCGCAATATATGAACATGTATACTTCGATAGTTACAGATTCAGTGGCTCGATGAACCCGTACTCGATGAAAAAGTTTACAATTTAACTTTCATCACAAGAAAAAAGGACGTTACGGAAAACGAATGATCATGACGTACGTAGCGTAATGCTTTTTACATGCTAGTGTACAAATGATATTTATAATCTATCGTCAAAATCAGCAGTTTTCATACAAACGATCGAATGTGTTGTACGGTCCTTTTATGAATACTGGATCTGCCTTTTCGAAAGATTAAAATGATTAGTACATACATTTAAAATTGTGTATACACATGATCGGCGCGCATGCACGTATATCTTACATATAATACACGTATGTGCATGCGCGCGCGCGCGTGCACTCTTACATACACATTCACTCACACATATACACAAAATATAATCGTACAGTGTATTGCCTTTGTTAAATAGCATTCGGATAAGCCATATTTTTCCATGCAATGCAATAATCCAGCAAAGTAAATTACCGTAAAACGTGAAAACAGCCTAAATAGAAGAGTGCCAGATATGGGAGAAAAGAAAGAAAAAGT